TTCACCACTAAAATAGAAACTTTACACCAATAACAAACTACAAAAACACCAAACGTTTAATATAAAAGCTAAAAACATACACTTTCTGTGTGGTGACTAACTTAAAAAGTGGCCCAGATGTGGACTAGAAATGCCAGGTAGCAGAATGGATACAGCTTCTAATCATCCTGAAATAAGGTGATTGGGCGGAAGGGCAGAGATTGCAGAAGGACAGAGATGAGCCGCTTATGTCTAAATATAGTTTCACAAAGTCTATGTCACTGGCTGTTATTGCAGGTCATTCTTGTCTTCTATCACCCCAATACCTATTGGCCTCTAGTGACAACAGCAGCCAATTCAATTCAATCTCTGTCTGATTGGATCTGATTAACTCTCATGCCCCCCACACACATACACACACACACACTCCAAAAGCGTTGTTTGTGCTGGGAGAATCCTCGGGGGAAAGATATCCGAGTAAATGGCTGTGGTGATTGTGCCAGATAGACTGGATGTGTGCATAATATCCACAGCACATGAGCTAATGTGTTGGCTAATCGCACACCAGAGAGAGAAACGGACCCATGCACGCCACACTCACGCCGGCATGGCTATAACCTTTACCGCTGTTTTCCTGCCAGAGGTTGCCAGATCTCATTGTGACACTATTCCGTGCTTTTTCACAGCCACCAGGACACTTCCACAGGTTTGTTGACAGCTACGGAAGCTATTAAAGCCAACATAATAATTTTTATAGTCGTCCCACCTCCACAAAAACAGTCTCAGAAATGAATAGTGGCTAAAGCATAGTTTAAGCGCATTTACTGTAGTGAATTGTGATGGTTAATAAATGGTTTATTTGTTTGCAATACTTGTTTTTTTGTACTTTTTACTTGAATTAAACCACACAAAATACATCTGTGTTTCCATGGATCATTGAGAAAAATGTCCACAACAATAGACATCAGGAAAGGTTTGATTTTGTATTGGAATAGAATAAGTTAGCTAGGTTGGTTGTATGAATCTTTTAAGGCACTTTTGATGTAATGGGTTAGGGTTAGCTAAGGCAAAGCTGAGCAGATTGTTACGACAATATGCAGAAGTCAGTGATTTTCCACTTGATGTTTTCGCTTATCTGAAGGTCGAAGCTGTCTTTTAAAGAGCCACGTGCACGCTGTAAAACTCTGGCCATGTCTTTTACCAACAATAAAATAGTCGTCTGCTGTAACGCGATCCCAGACCTCTGCATATTTTGTCATTTTCTTCAGTTGTATGCAGATGGGGAATTTACAGTTGATACAGTTAACATTCATGGCTGGGGTCCGTACCTTTTTTCATAAATAATACATGCTGTTTATTCCAAGAGAAAGACGGGAAAGTAAAGTGTTGTGAACAAACTCAAACCACAGCATTCTGTCTTCATCTTAATCTTTTGAAAAATTGTCATCTTTTGCATACTTGTGTGAGTCACTGTTTAATGCTGTGGCTGAGAGCTGATTGGCTGAGTAGGGTCCTCTATGTTTTACTTTTCTGTGTGAAAAGGCTGAGCTAAAGCTGTGACTAAGGCCAAACATACATGTTGATGTGATGGAACCAAACTGTTTGAAAACCAGGAACTAATGACATGGATGATATGACAGAGTTCCATTTTTGTGTTTTGAAAGTTAGGTACTCCAGCTTTAAGTACTAAGGGACCACCTGTCTATTATCGCTCTAATTGTATTCTGTGCTCTAACTTTCTAGTGCCTGATCTGTGTTTCCTGGCCGTTCCTGTCAGAAGGATACCACTCGTGCTCACCTAGTGACGATGGAACCTTCGCAGAAACAGCAATATTTAGGTTCGGCACAGTACATTTGCTTATTTTGTTTCCTTATCCAACTCATAAGAGTACAACACACAGCAAATTCTATTCTATGGTTCTAATGGTTTGGACAAAACAATACATAAAGCATTTGGAAGTGTAGATACAGTAGATTAGTTCAGTGTGGGATTTTGGCGCACAAGGAATGACCGAAATGACAAGAGAGGGGGCAAGAGTCACCCCCAATTTACACCAATCAACATTCGTAATGCCGTAAGCAGCAGATATGTTCAAAAGAGGCATTCATTCTATTCTTTTTTCCTGCCTTCCTTGAACTGTGATAGGCCAGCACACGTGAAAAGAATGCATCCTATTCATAGCGATGCATAATGTAGCTTTTTCACGACTGGTGTAAATTATCAGGCTCATCACAATAAAAAGCCATTCTCGGACGTCACCTGCGCGTCTGTGTTTACATCCCGACAACCTGCCATTCATTTAATGCATTTTTAGTGGATTAATATAGACAACTGCCATCAAATATGACCCAAAACACAAGCTTTATGCACAGTGGGAGGACATATAATGCTAATGTCATTCACTCCAGTTCTTGTGAAATGTTAAAGGTTGAAGGTTATAACCACCTGTCGCAGTAATTCAATAAAAACACTCCTTACAGGGAAATTGGGCTGCCAGAACACAGAGATGAAACATAATTGTGCTTGAGAAAACTATTCCGCCTTTTCTAAACCAATGATCGGCACTGACACTGGGACACATGCGCCTCGTGTGATAAATGTGGGACGTCCCATAGTGGTTTTCATTACATTCTTCTGCTGAGAGCCAGGGAACAATGGTGCTAGATTAAACAGTGCTCCTTCAAGACAAATCATTAGTCTTCTTCACTCTCTCTCCCGTGTCAGTCCGCCTCTCGATCGCCTAAGTCAAGGTCGCTTGGAAGTCATGGATTCAGAAGAAAAGCGAATTGGAAGAATGGGCAGCTGTTCTGTAGGGATTTTGACAACACTAAAACACCATTTACATGATGTGCTATTCATTTAAAGCAATTTTCATTCAAATCAGGCAACTCAAAAGCCTCAGACAGGAGGGTGTGTATGTGCCAGGAAATGCGCAAGGGGGGGGCAAAATAACAGGAACATTATCAAAGTAGCCTATTCCCAGAGCTCGGCAGCTGCTCGTGTGTGGTATACGATTGCATTTGACTTTCATCACCCTGCTGAGAGACTGGGAGACTGTGTAATGGAAAAATGACCCAGATCAGAACAAAGATGAGTGCGAAAGAGGACGTGTTCGACCGGGCTACTCGTTGTAAATTTGACTTCCCATTTAAAAACAAGTGCAAGTCTCTGATGAGAAGGAGAAGAGTGAGGAGAGTGAGGAGAGTGAGGGGAGGAGGGGTGTAGTTGGTAGTCTATGCATAGATGTTACAGGAATCAACATGGTGGTGTAAGTACATTAAATACTACATGTCAGCTCCATAAAGAATAAATGCAGGATATTGAAAGACACGGATGCATGTTAGCTTGCTGCTATCTGTGCCATAAATACAAGAAAAACATAAAATCAAAGCCGCTTTATTTTTCCTGATAAATAAAATGTCCAGCTCTGTACAGTACATCCTGCCATGCCACAGGATGTGTTAAATTGCAATATATTTAGGATTCGGCTGCAGGCATTTTGATAAGTATTAAAACATTAGGGTGGTTTGCTACAGTGATCTGTTGTCATATCTTTGTTGTAATGTTTATGATGATGTAAAGTCAGTCCTTACTTTAGATGCATGTTGACATTTTACATTTTTAAAATTACAATTCTCTGGTAGTATTTTTTTGTATTGCTCTTAAAGCATAGTAGTTTTGATGCTTATGACTACCTCACCTGCTTCTAAATATGGCAGTACTGTAACTTCAGCTGGTCACTCCCAGCAGGTAGACCTGGTGACATCACAGGTTATTAGTGCCGTGTTCTTCTCCTGTTCGTGGTCTGAAGGCTTCAGGCGCACCATCCATCACCATCTCTCCCCTGCACCGCTCTGGGCTCCTCTCCACCTCGCCGTGCCGTGTCTGTGTCTATGGGCCGTGCTGACTGATGAACATGATCAGCTTTGCAGCAGAACAATAGAGTTTCTAAATAGGACATGAGAGGCACTGAGGCTTCCCTGCTCATTCTGTGTACGCTTTGGCATTGCTCAGACCTGCTGTGTGCAATGAGCCACCTGCTTGAGGCGATAGTAGACTGGGGACTGGCAACCTCTAATGTTGCCTTTTAGGAAGGTGGGAATATTAAACACAATACGCATTGTACAATTTCATAATGAGTCATTTTAAAATATGGATGTGTTACCACTGCAAGGATATTTTTCTTTAAACTACCAATATGTTATTGAACAAAAACAATGCACCAATAGAACATTGTCTCCATTTAACATACTAGATTCAAAGAAAGGGAAATTAAATACTGTAAATGGTTTCTTTATTGCAAGCCAATTCTGCCTCGGATTTATTTTCATTATTGTATGTTGTGGCGTACTGTTGTGGCCTTTTCTAGCTTGATCTGGTCAGATTTTATAAGTTAAGCAGTGCAGGGAAAGTAAGAACGAGGATGAGAGACCGCAGGATAGCATGAGCCACAGTGGAACGGATGAGGCGACAAACCCTTAGCAGAATGAATCAGCGCAGATTGGCGGCCTCACTTCCAGCAGTCTACTTCAGGGCGGCTGTGGCCACAGTAGGAAGGAAGTTTTCACTGCGTCTTTTACAAACTGAGAGTAAAAAAGCGCTACACGATTGCTGTGGGCATTTTTCCTCTCACTCCATACACAGTGATGGAAGCAAGAGGCACATGCACGACTTATTGCACATGTTTTTAGTGGTAAGGGAAACCGTATCACCTGGAGGAAACTATAACAGACTTTGGGGATTAAAATACCGCTGCGCCCATGGTTATGTAGTTACTTACCACAACCATGAACAGTGTGAATGATTAATACAATGTAAAGCATCTCTGCATGTCCAAAGACCACAATATACAACTGATGCATCACCACTGGGCATTTAACATTTAAGACTATTCATCTTCATCAAACGAGCTCAAATTTCCATTTGCTGGCCTTGTTTGTTTGACCAATTCACGGTGTGTTGGCAGGACTTCTTGCTACATCAATCATAACACTTATTGGGAGATTGCTAGACGTTGGCAATGGAGCAGGTGGCACCAAACAGCTGCATTATGGCTGCCAGCCTGGCCCTTGGCATCACCTCTGCTCTGGGATGCTTTGGCCTGTTCTGCACCTGCTACAGCTACCTGCCTCTGGAGGACTCTACAGCAGCTCTGTGTCTGCGCACCTGTCTGCTGGCATCCCACTGCAACGTAATAACCCCCTACCTGTTAATTAGCCAGCAACAACAACCGCCTGTGTTGCATGATCCAAGGCACAATGCAAATGAATATGATCTTCACCAAGGACAAACACTCAGTCAGTGTCGCAACCTATTTATTCAAATATGACCATCAATCACAAACACACACTGTTCTGACTGAGCTTGATTGGTTATAATTATAATGATTACAATGAAACTCTCTGAACTATTTCGAGTACCTTATTTGTGGTATGTGAGTCACAAGAATCCTTACCCACTCCTGACTAAAGTCTATCAAACATTGACCAGAGGAAGTAGACTTTGGAACAGGAAAAGGCGTTAAAAAATTCTTCCTAGCTGAACTAATGGCCTGGATGAATTCACCTCTGCGACGTGAGTCTGATTGTCAACTTGTCACATGTCAGACATTATGATCTGATAATGCTTCTTGCATTTTACCACCAGGTTGGGACAAAGGTAAAAGGGAATAACTGCATCATGTGTTCACTTAAAAGACAAAATGACAGGCCATAAAACGGTGTACCTTTTCGTCTGGAGTCTCTTCTGAGAGTGCTGGGCCTAACCGCGGGCTGCAGCTCAGTCTCCGTGGACATGGTCAGACTCCCTCTGGGCTAAGCTCCTGTGGCTCTGCTCCGGCGGGGGTCCTGCAGGGGGGTCCCAGTGACGGCGTCAGTGGTGGCTTTGAGGGCGCCGTTGGGGTGCGCGGAGGCGCCAGCTGTGTGAGCGGGCACAGGGGCGCATGGGAGAGGGCCGGGCCTCAGCCCTGACACGACCACCCACACCCAGCCACGGAGAGCTGGACAGAGAGAGAAAGGTTTCAGTTAGAATGCTAGAGTGAAAATGTTCACCTCAGATCTTTTTAAAAGACAGAAGATCTATAAAGGTTTAATAGATGTTTTTTTACAAGTACAAGTATCAAATACAATAGGCAATACAGATTCTAGAAGAAACATATTATGTGCAAGTTCCAAGCAAAATTTTGTAACAGAGGTACAGTATGTCTTTCACTGAGGAGCAAGGAAACCACCATCACTGCACAAATGTTACATCTTCATCCAATTTTAGTTCAGGACAAACTTTATTCTAGTTTGAAGTCTAGTTTTATTTTCATCATTTGGCAATGGTGGGGAATATAAAACTTCTGAATATGACATGGCAGACTAGTCAACAACTAAACAACATGACAATACCATTCACTTTCAAGTGCTTACTGATAGTCTTTCTGACCGTCTAAACATGTCAAAGTAATGTCACTTAAATGTGAAATAAAAGCTAGACATCTACACATGTCTTATGTAATCTACAGTGACAAAACAAATTCAGGGCCTTATTGTGAATTAATTATGTTTAAATGCAATAAACAAGACATTAAATAAGTATATGAATGTGTTACAAAACTGTTATAAGAATTTCAGCAATTAAAAATATGTAACATTATTATTACATTAGTTTTTGTCCGAGAAAAGCATGTTAACCCATCTGCAGCACACTCGCCCTCAGAGAGCCTCCTGCTCTGCGTCTGATTGGTCCCTCTGGACACACACTCGTCCCTTCTTTGGCCATCTGTTGCTCCTTGATTCAGAAGAGTGGACTGGCAGAGAGTTCCATAACCTCACAGCCAGGTCCGCAGTATTGAAGAGTGAATGAGGAGACGTGCTCATTTGCATGCAAAAACAAAACGCAGACAAGTTCCTTTCTACTGGGAGGGACAGTGCTACAAAGACGGCAGGAGACAGCTGCAGGTTGACGTGCTGCATAATGAATGTGACTTTACTTCTCACCTCTCTCACACAAGCACTGCTACCCCTTAGTGCTGTTCTTGGTCAGTCCAGCGTACGCATACACCCACACACACGCACACACACACACACACACACAATGCCTTGAGATTCCCAAGAAATACAATTATAATGCAAGAAACAAATTAAGATATGTCAAAATGTCCAGTTCAAATCCGTCCAGTCTCAAAACGGCCCCATTTTGCATATTTATTAGGTTCAGTGCAGCTAAAATTGAGCTTATGACACGCATTTTTATCCATGCCTATTCTTTACAGTACACAGGAAATTGCAAATATCTTCTCACTTTTGCAAAGACAATGTGCAAATGATACAAATTGAGCCCCAAAATATATGGGTGCATTCATTAGTTATTGAATGATCATTTAACTGCAGGGACCACTGAAGCCTAAAGTAGCATTACAGGATGGGTACATGCAGAGGAAAAAAAAGTATAATATCATGATAATAGGTCTAGCGCCACATTAGCCTGGCCTTAGCCATCCGTACACTCCGCTCAATCGTCATTTCACTGCATGTAACGTCTGGGTCTGGTCCCTGTGTTTGCAATTACAATTTGTTGAATTCCATCCGACCAATCAGCGAGCGCGGGAGGCCGGTGTTGTAGTTGGATATGGGTGACGTCAAGAGTTTGCATCGAACGGGCAGGTTGTAGTTTGGCAATGGCGAAAAATGCGACAGTAAAGTAATCTGGTCTGTTTGTATCAAAAAATTGAAGCCGGAGCAAGAAGAATGTTTAGCAAATGTAATTGCTAACAAAAATTGTGGCGCTACTCCCCACGGGCTCCGTTAGCGGCAAAGGAGATGGCTAGGCTAAATACTAACGACTCACTCAGGCGCATTACATACGTCACGGTAAACTCAATCCAGATCCAATCGTTTCAATCTGCAAAAGGAGTTGACCCCCCCGCCCCACCTGATCACGGAGCTCAATGGAGCACCTCCAGACCTTAATACGAAATGTAATTTGTACTATGGTGTGGTACGACCAGGCTAGCACCACATGGTTCTTCTCATATATATTTCAAGATGTCTCCAAAAATGCTCAAAAATGAAACATTATATTTAGTATTTATACTGGCTCAAATGTATCTAGTTTCAATTCTAGTTTTAGCATCAATTAATATCTGATTTTCAAAACTTGATTATTTGCTTATTTGTTTGAATTCCCATTATCTGTCAGCAAATGCACAGCTACTCTCCCTGGCATCCTTCCTTTAAATCACTTACACATATATACATACATAGAGGACACTGCAGGCCAGGTTGAAATTAAATGTATGCAAGGAAGAACTTGGGGTCTCTGAGTTGGAGGACCCTATATGAGCCTAAGGTGGAAACACATAAATTGAGAGGTTTTTAATTTGCTGCAGACAGAAGAGAACAGAGTCCATTTAATTCTGCCAGCAGAGGCCATGTCGGCAAAATGCTGACAATATTCTTTATCTGGTCCAAACACACTGGAAAAGTGTGAGTCACTCCAATTACAGGCATTATCAGCAGCCCTTCTCCAGCAAATGGACGGAGAGAGAGTGTATATGAAGAGACGAGGGTTAGCGGTAAAGCAGCAGAATAAAGCTAACAGAAGAGAGAGGAAAGGAAAGATATAATCCAAAGCCAAATAATAAAAAAAAAATGTGTGAAGATCAGTCAGAAAAGAATATGGAGGGCCCAAGCCTAACCGTCAGTCTGCGCCCCTCTTTCCCTCCTTGTTCTACCCCTTTTGTGTCGGGACGTCCTGCTGTGAAGTCTTTCAGTCTGCATCTGGAGTCTGGTTAAGTCACTATCTGTTCACTTGGACCAGTCTCAAACCAGCAGATTGTTTTTACACTAAGCAAATGCAATTAAACTCCACAATGAAGCTACACCTGTTGGACAATATTGTATTTTGAAATATATTTTTAACAACATCTGACCCTTATGGAGTAATGGTTCTATGTGTTTTTTTAATCCTTGCATTTCTTTTGTTTGATTATCTGGTCTGTGTTGGTTTTGTTAAGTCTTTAGAGATAACTACTGTTGGGATTTAAGGCTATACAGGAATAACTTGAATTATCTTTAACTGTGTCAATCATTCCACAACTCTGCAACTCTACAACGTCACACTCCGGAATCCTGAAGTTAAATTTTGACAAACACAAGACTTAATACTCAAGGGATCAGATCTTTGAGGTAACAGCAACCTCAGTCACACCAATGTTCTTTGGACTAGTTTAATATCTCAAGGGCTGGCGTTTTTTAAATGTTGCTAATTACCAAGTTTAGAAGCTCTATAAGCTCATATTCTGTCTAAAAAACAGAGGGACTGAAAAACAAACTTCCAGGACAATTGTGCTCTGAATGCTCCAACACTCTATTGTTTTAATCAACTCTTTAAGTGCAGAATTTCTACATGAGCTTCCGAGTTCAAACCATTATTTCCCCATGTTTTTGAAATTATTTATTACGGTACTCTTACAAAGTTCCAGGGCTCCAGTTTCTGTGTGGTCCATATCAATCGTCTGAAAATACTCCACCGCCTAAAAGGTTAACATAATAAAGCTTCTCTCTAAGTCAATATTGCCTTCTATGTGTGTTTTTGAGGTCAATCTCCAGTAATGTAGCACTTTTACCATTGCCATACAGGCGAGTACAAACGCATTTCTCCAAGTGTAAAATCAAGAAGAGAAGAAAAGTGTAGACCATTTTCCGCCAGCAGAAAGCCACTAGTCACCCATCTCTACACTGTGAATGAGCACGGAATGAAATTGTACGACTGAAAATGAAAAATCTGTTGCAATACCTCTCTCCAGATGACTGCCGGGCTCCAGACATATGGTTGTTTCTCTGGAGGCTCGGGCTGAGAGTGCTACATCTAAGCTACAGTCCCAGAAGGGTAGAAGCTAATTTCTCAAATAAAGAATGCCAAGCTGGAGCGGTACAAAATTCCCCAACACACTGATAGCCATAGTATCCACACACACAAAAAAGCGCCTGACCTGGAATCAGCGCTAAAAGTAGCAGCAGGAAAAGGATGTGAACATGGCTTAGCACTTCTGGATATAGACGGCAATCTGAAGCCGAACCAGAGGCGACACGGGCTGCAGGCGGGAAGAGGGGGAGATGGGAGCAGTAAATTGAACAGCCTTAAATGGGGCGATGCCAAGAGGCGCAAGTGGGAGATGTGTATGTGTGTGACTCAACAAACAGGAAGCTGCCAACAGGAGCTTAATGCCCAGAAATCATGTGCAGCTACTGTGGAGGGCGCCAAGAGCGTAGAGAGAGACAGCGAGAAAAGGAGGTGGGGTCTTCACTATAATTGTATTCTGTCCATCAAGCTCGCTCTTGGATTAGCTGCTCCTCACCTCCATCAGAATAATGTCTAATCACGAAGACCAGCTCAGAGCCGTCGCGTTGCCAGGTCTGCTCCTGTTCCTCTCCATTCAAGAGCGATGTACGACTGCTGATGTGAAATTAGTCATGCGAGAATTGATTTGATGAAACCACTGAACTGTTGTAGTGACTATATGCTAATGCTGGTGTTATACAAATAAAATAGTACATGTTGTAGACAGGGAAGTTTCTAGTATGACGTATGAAAGAGGCAGTGATGATTTAATAACCGCTGTAGAGCACACCAAAAGCAGAGAACTAACCCGTGCCTCCACTGCAATGATTTTGTGGTGAAGTTTATGATTTATTATAAAGTGAATGTCTGTTACTTTTCCAAATATGAAAAGAAAAGTACTGGATCAACTCGCCCAAGCCTCCTGATCGGAAAAAAAAAAGTAATAAAATCCTTTTCATTGGTTTAACTGTTCTCCTCTATCAAATGATGCTGGTCAGAGTTATGCTAAAGAGACCGTTTTAAATTTTGTATTGTTAACAAATACTTAATGTGCATTATGGTTTGGTTTCCCCTAGTCAGAAATATTCAGTATTCAAATTATCGTTTTAATTGCACATGACCCCGACATGAACTAACACAT